AATCCACGCAGCTTTAACTTGGTTAGTTTTCGCTACCTTTTCGTCTTTTAATTCCACAAAAAGTCATCCATACGTTTCAATTGGAGTGCCACTCATCAGTGCCTCCTTAAAACAACAACAAATTTATATAGCGCCCTCCACGCCAGACGGGGTCTCAGAGCACTTCACAGTAACGGATCCCGGGAAGGTGACCAAAGGCGCGGTCGAAAGGAAAGGTCTTCAGCAGAGACTGGAAAATAGAAAGAGAGGGGGTGAGGCGAAGGGAATGAGGAAGGGAGTTCCACAGCCTCGGGGCATAGTGGCTGAAGGCATGGCTGCTGAGGGTGGAGTGGAGGACTCAGGGGACAGGGTGGAGGCCAGATCCGGAGGAACGAAGGCAATGGGCACTGTTTTGAGGAGAGAGGAGGTCAGAGAGGTAGGGGGGGTGCAGAGGAGTGGAGGTATTTGAAGACGAGAGCCAGTGCAGTCTGGCAAGGACTGGGGTAATCGGGCAGCGGAGTTTGATGTGGGTGAGAATGCGGGCGGCAGAGTTTTGAATAATCTGGATTTTATGGATGGTAGTGGAGGGGAGGCCGGCGAGGAGGGCATTTGAATAGTCCAAAGCTCCTCATGTTTGGTTAATCTTTTTCTCCATGTATTCTTTCGTTGAATCTTCCATGTTTTTAAAATACTTTTTCTAATCCCCCAACCGCCCTGGTTGTTTAGTTCAGTTGATTCCTTTTTTTTCACAGCCAAAAATTTAACTTTGTCAAACTTCAGCAACGCAGGATCCCTATTCGGGCAATTGATTGGTACAAATGTCCAATTTTATAGGTAACCCTGCCGTGTTCTAAAGACTGACACAAACGCACAATTCATCAAAGTTTATTAATTCAAATTAACAAGATTATATGAGTGGTGGTTAAAGAATACAACAGAATAATACTTACGTGTCCTCAGACAGTTTACAACAATTAAGGTTGGCAGAACCAATTTTGTGGAAGAGATGGAGGAGTGGTTGTCTGTTTGATCACCAAAAGATATCCAGGTACTGCTGTACTGCTGCCAGCTGCTGAGTGTTGCTAAGGCTTAGTTTCGATCTTCTTTCTTTAGAAGCCGGAATATGGTTCGCGACTCTAAATTCCAAATCCCTGTCGCTTCTAATTCTCTTGCTGAATTGATTTTTTTTNATCCAGTCGCTCTCCTTCTTGTGCAGTATGTTTTCTGTTTTTCTCAAAGGAAGGTTGGCCTCATCCTGTTTATCAGCCTCACGTCAGTCTCAGTCTTGTTAACCTTATGCAAACAGACTCATGATGAATGATCACGTATATTGACGGTCTGATTATGGTATCCGGGTATTGTCTTTTCCAGGGCCTTTTATTTGACCAGCAGTTATTTTTATATAGCAGCAATTCCCAAAAGAGGTTCATATAATATAAACACATTAATTACAGATTCCTTACAAATGTCCCACAAGCAGTCAAGAATATTTTTTTTTCTTTGAGGGATCATTGGCCTGTACACCAGAGAAACTCCCTTTTCTTTTCAAACAGTACTGTGGGATCTTCAACATCCATCTGAACAGGCTGATGAGCCTTCAGTTTAATGTCTGATTGAATTGGCACTTATGGCAGTGCAGTAAGCGGGGTCTTCTTGGAGATGAACTGGCTCCAAGGTGACATGCTTGGCAATAGAATGTCGGAGCTGGTTAGACTCCAGCAGTTACCCCAGTGCACACTCTGGGGTCCCCAAACCTTGAACCTTGCCAACCTGCGCCTAATACTTTCCGCAATTAGGTAAGAAGAATGCGTCCCTCCAGGGAGAGAGTGCGCATTCCATTACAACAATTTATCTCTGGGATTCCCATGTGTAGGTGGGATGTATGGAAATCTCAGCTTGGTTTGGTTACCTTTAAGCATGGTGATGGGTTTCCACATGTGTCCGACACCCGGCTGATATAATGTTTAATTCCCCCCCAGTTATTTCTGTGGGTTGACATTTTTGGGGGTCTTTTTATTGGCTTGCCAGTAGATGTGCATGCCCGATTTTACTTTGCTATCATGGAGTTAACCTCCTAACGTCAGTTGCAGAGAAAAATGCTGCCGTTTATGAATCGCTCCAGTGAAAAGAAAGCTTTGCTAAAAAAAATTCCTCACTACATTCTTAAGTGTGGAGTTGGGTTAATGAGATTCTGTGCTGATAAAGCATTATTTTGGACTTATTATTTCCTCGAGGAAGCATTCTGTATTTTGAATGCAATTTAAATTATTTTTTCTTGCATTAGCAAAATAAATGGTGGGAGCATATTTTTTCCCCTGCAATAATGTTATAGAACATTGTAGGCCCTAATTTATAATTACTTTATCCAGTGACACATTTTATTATTTTTTTAAAAAAAGAGGGCAGAATCGTTTTGACCTACTTTGTCTATAATTAGCTGATATTGCTGTATCCTAAATCACATAGCCCTGAGATTTGGTGCCTTAAAGGGGCAAATGTGCATTTGTTTTAAACGCAGTGATGATAGACATCACTGATTATTATTATGATAATATTGAATTATTATTAAACTATTATGATAATTTGAAGAAAATTGTATTATGATAATTCTATGTTCTTCAGATTTACAATTGTGAAGCGCTTTGAATAATTAAAAACAATTCTTGCATTTGATGTAGCTCCTTATTGCATTGTTCAAAGTGTTTCATAGGATACTAATGTGAAATGTGATGACTGTATTTTGAGGGGTGAATGTGACAGCCAATTTGTGCACACAAATTTGTCCCCAAAACAGCTGTGAAGTGAACGTGATTGATTGCATGTTTTCCTTAAGAAAATAATTCTCCTGTTCTCCACCCCCGTTTCCTGTTTGCAATTACATATCTGCCAGTATGCTCCAGCACCAAGCTCCAGTGCTTAATAATTCAACTGTGTGGACAGCGAGTCTAGCAAGCAGTTTAACTATAGAAGGCTTCACAGTTAAACCCGCTTCTGATATCGCCTGAAAGTGCACATGTGTGCACTTTCTAGCAGGGCTCAGTGGCTAAGTATTGGAAGTTTGAACCTGGTCTTGATTTTCATTATCTGCTTTCTTCTTAATAGTGATAATCCTTGTGTTTGATTTAGCGCCTTATCATGTCTTTGAGATGTCTCAAAGTGCTTCACAGAATATACTGTAAAGTAAATTGACTGTATATTGTGGGTGAAACGCGGCAGCCAATCACGCACAGTAGTGTCCCACAAACAGTCGTGGATTGAAGTGACCAATTTATTCTTAGATTATTATTATTGAGAACTATCAGGTTGTCACTAGGCTCAGTTAGTAGATCTCTCGCCTCTGGGACAGAAGATTATGGTTTGAAACCTGACATCGAGACTTTGAGCTCACAGTCCAGGCTGACACTGCAGTGCAGAACTGGGGAAGTACTGTATTGTTAGAGGTGCTGTTCCTCGGATGAGATGTTAAACCAAAGTCCCGTCTGCCGTTCAGATGGACATTAAAAGAAAAGTTTCTCCCAGTGTCATTACCAACTTCCAAATATGGCCATTCATTTGAGGGCTGATGATAGGACCTTGCAGAGTATAAATTACCTGTCTCATTTGCCTACAAATACATAGTCATTACACGTGCTAGCAATTATCTATGAAGTGCTTGGTAAGTTTCAACATCATCGGCACAATATCAAATGCAGTGATTCTTTTCTGGACAGCTTGCCTCCAAGGGACCTTCAGTGTGCTTTTACCATTATGACAAAGAAACTGTTGGGGAAGTTCTCGCTTTGGCCAGTGTTTAGTTATTTATTGTCTCCAGTTTGTTTTTCATTTGGCCTTGTTGAGATTTATTGTTGTCAGTATTTGAACTGTTTGAAAAATGATTGTCTTCGAAACGCATCAAGACTGTCCAAAAATTATCAGTTGTGTAAATTTCACCTGCTCATTCAGACACCTCACGGAATATGTGGATTAACGAATGTGATAATTAACACATCACAGATCGCAATTTGGCTGAGCCATCGATTTTTACCGTTTTTGAGGGTGTAGGATTTACAACAACAACTACCACCCTTTTATCAGGGTAGTGTCCTGGAGCACTTCACATTGGCAGAATCTGACAATGAGGGAGGGGGAGGGTGAGGCGACCATAAGCACGATAAAAAAGGAAGGTCTTTAGGTGGGATTTGAAGGTGGGGAGAGAGGGGGCAAGGTGGAGCGATTGAGGGAGAGATTTCCAGACCTTCCGAGCATAGTGGCTGAAGGCATGACCACCGATGGTAAAATGGAGGGCAGGAGGCTAGACCCAGCTGAGTGGAGGCTGGCTCCGGTAAGAGCATCTCAACATTGGACTCGGCACAGCGAAGGGCATCTCAGTTGATAGTTGAAATGAAGCAACTGAGTTGAGAGTAATCTAGGAATGTTCACGCTGGTTGAAGCGAACGCTCATGGGGCATTTTATTGAAGGATTCAAATCCTGAAGGGCATAAATTAATTCAAGCCAAATGCCCTACTGAATAAGCTCAAAACATTTACAGTGAAAGGACACAGACTTCATTCAGTTCAAAAGAGGGAGGGCGGATGACAGCTCAGATTTATTATTTACCTTACATGGTGAGTTTATGGAATACATTACCGAGGGGCTGGGAGAGAGGAGGCAGTGAAGGCAGATTGTCTCGGCAAATGTGAAAGGTTTTTATCCACACAAGTGTTTTTGTTTGGCGGAGGGGAGGGGATATGATGGATACAGTATTGAAGGATAATTTTATCCATTGTACAGTATAGTAGTTCCAGGGGTTCTTTAACAACCACCTGAACAGGCAGAGGAGACCTCGGTTTAACATCCCATCTGAAGGTCAGGCCTTCAACAATGCAGCAAAAAGGTTCCTTGGAAAGGAAGGACCCTCCCCCTACTGAGAGACATCACATCAATATTGTTTCAAGGAAAATAATCTGTCATCTTTCATATACATCTGTGATCTTTATAGCTCTATGCCATCAATCTAAAAGATTGTCTTTTATTCTTTCAGTATACGGTCATGGGCAGATAAGATGAAGGAGGAGCTTGTAACGTTGATCCACTCGGCAAGTGGAATGGATGATCTAAAATCGGTAAGAACCACGTACATTAATACAACAACAACTTGAATTTATATAGCGCCCTTCACGTGGGGCAGGGTCCCGGAGCGCTTGACAGTGGTGGAGTCTGACCCAAGCCAGGGAGGGTGGAGGTGATCGTAAGCACAATCAAAAATAATAATAATAATCCTTCCATTTGATTTAGCGCTTTTCACATCTTCTAGACATCTCAAAGCGCTTCACTGTAAAGTGAATTAACTGTATATTTGTGGGCGAAACACGGCAGCCAATTGTGCACAGCAGTGTCCCACAAACAATCGTGGATTGAAGTTACTAATTTATTATTGTTTTTTTTTCTGGAGGGATTATTATCAGGCGTGTGGAGTAAGGAAACTTGCCCAAGGTTTTGCCCTGCCAGGAATTGAACCCAGGTCTCTCGCTTGCGAGACGAGTGCTCTAACCACTGAGCTACAGGACTCTACAAGGAAGGTCTTTAGGGGGGATTTGAAAGTGGGGAGGGAAGGAACAAGGTGGAGGGATTGAGGGAGGGAGTTCTAGAGTTTTGTGGTGCAGTAGCTGAAGCCACGGCCACCGATGGTGGAGCAGAGGGGACGAGGGATCAACAGGAGGCCTCAGCCAGCCGAGCGGAGACAGCGTGTGGTGGAGTGGAGCGATAAGCAGATCAGATAGGTAGGGAGGTGCAGGGACATGAAGGGATTTGAAAAAGAGTGAGAGGATTTTGAAATTGATCCATTTGGTAATTAGGAGCCAGTGGAGCCTGGCAAGGACTGGTGTGATGGGGATATGGAGTTTATGTGTGGTGAGTATCCGGGCAGCAGACTTTGGGATTATTTGAATTTTGTGTATGGTGGAGCTGGGGAGACCAGCGAGGAGGGCATTAGAGTAGTGCAGCTGGGAAGTGACTTGGACTAGGGTTTTGGCTCCGTTGGTTTAAACATTAAACATTAAGTTTAAACTCTCAGAATGTTTGGTTATTGCAGCTGATTTTTTATCTTTCTCTCTCTCTTGTCTCGGCCCCCATCTTCTTCCACAAAATAAATCCCAGAGAGAGGTGTAGGATTTTAAAAAAAAATGGGGACTGGCCTGATCGTCTTTTTTTGTCCTACACACTCCTATCTTCGCATGGTAATATATAGTTTATGAGACAAACAGTTGAGAATGGGTTTTATTGCTTGGTGCTACAAATGGATTGACAGCCTGACCGCGACTATTTCTGACACCCTTTGCATCACACACAGACAATTTAAGTGGATTAAATGTCACTTTAATATTGTATGAAAATGGATAAAGCTGCACTTTTTGGCACAAACCCAAACATTCACCTCTGTGACATCTATTCACTTTGATGTGTCGTGATTACTACAGCTTTCAAATGCAGGGTTTTCATATATTTAAAAACCAGGCCGTGATATTACACAAACAGCAATTGGAATAAATTCATTCAGAGAATTGTCCTTCCCTTTAATGTGAGTTGCTTTTAAAGGTTCCTGGGGGTGTCGAGGACATTTCTCTTGGAGTTGAATTGGCTACACGGAGGCATGTCTAGCTTTGTTGATAGTTCACTGGCCTGGTTAGATCAGTGAGACTTGGAGACGTTAACAAATCTTAACAGTGGGGATTGTAGTGTAGTGGTAGTGTTACTGGACTACTGTTCCAAAATTTCCGGCTAAAGTTTATAGGGTTCAAATCCTGCCATGGCAGAATCAAAATTTTTATTTTAATAAACTGCTGATTTAAGATGGGATTGTTGTAAAACCCCCATCACGAATGCCCTTCAGGGAAGCAAATCTGACATCCTTACCTGGTATGGCCTATGTAAATGGGACTGAAAGGATTGCTCTTTGAAAAGCTTTGTAAATGGACTGAATGGCTTTCGTATGTGCTATAAATTTGTATGATTCCAGTGCCACAATTATATGGTTGACTCTAAATGCCCGTTGAAATGGTCGAACAAACTACTCAGTCAGGTCAGGGTGGTAAAAGTGTGGAAATCACTGCCAGAAGCTGTGGTTGAAGCAGAAAACATCAACGTATTTAAAAGAAAACTTAACTTATACGCAAGGGAGAAGGGAATAGAGAGGAATAGGATGGGTGAAACCTCGTAAAATATCAACACAACACTGGCCTGGGTTAGTTGTGTCAAATGGCTTGTTTCACTTGCTGTAGTGTTCTAAGTAATTCTATGTAAGTTGACAAAATTATCATATAATCATGTCCAGTTGGATTCTGTGAGATACTTTACCTGGGGTGCTGCTGCCTCTAATCTTGGCATTTGCCCAGCATGGTCAATTTTCACTTGAACGTTTACATCATCTCAGCATATATTAAAAAGGAATTGATTGATCCAAAAAATGCCAGTGCATTGCTCCAGTTGTTTAACTGCTTCTTTTAGGGGCGGGGGAAGGAAGAGGAAGTTGTCTATGTGTCCATATTGGTAGATGTTGCCAACAATTCCTGAGAGGTCTTGCCCAGCCAGGTGTAACACAGCTGGGACACTGACAATCTCCATTGAACTGAGATCACCCATCCTGCTTTCGTTTTAATGAATCTCATGCTGGCCGGTGGGGTGGTGCCACTGGGCAGAGCGACAAGATTATGTCACGATCTGCCTGTTTCCAAAGGCAGCAACGAGATAGATACCTGTGTTCCTATGCACTGAGCCCTTCAGTGGGCTCTGGGTTTAGGGAGGTGCCTTTGATCATAAAGGAACACAAAGGCATTTGCTCTTCTCCCCTCAGCGTCTTCCAGTATCACTATGGAATCTTTGAGGACCCCCCGCGCTCTCTCTCCGCTCTCCCACCCCCACTAGTATGGGAAAGCCTGAGTTAGCTGAGAGATGGGTTCTGAGGGAAGGGCCTAGGAGAGAGATCAAACTATCATACAGGAAGTGTGTGCAGGAGGAGCAAGCTGGTAGACAATTGTCCTTGGTACTCGAGTACCCACATGATAGCTGTTTTGTCCTGCTATTATTTCACCAATGCCTTGTTTTGGCCGTGCTATGTCTTTAGTTCTTAACCCCCGCCCCGTCACATTAAGTATAGATTGTTAAGGTATTTTTTCAGTCATTGAAATGATGTAGAGGGGGTTCTCCTTTAATCGTTTAAAGGCACAAATCTATAAATGAAAATTGTATTTGCTTTGTTCGCCACTCAACCATAAAATACTGTGAAACGCTTTGAGAGGTCCTTCTAACTTGAAAGGAGCTGTTTCAAATGCAAGAATTATTGTTGTTATTATTATAAGATCCTGGTCCTTGTTCAATGCAAACTTTATAAGGACAAAACAAAACGGCCTATCTTTTGTTACAGATTTACGCAGCTAATAGACAATACTACACGATTGAGATGAACAATGCTCGTCATTTGGTGGAAAGCGCAGCGCGCGAGATCGAGAAACTGCTGAGCAACAAAGTGAAAGCTCTGAAGGTGAGTCGAGGGCTCACCTTGCTTCGTATCATATCGATCACTCCTTCATTTAAACTGTTAACTGATTTATTTCTGAGGATGTATCTTTCTCTCTCTGTCTGGGCCCAGTGTATGGGGGAAAATTGCATGAGAGGTAATGGAAAAGGTAGAAAGAGTTGTGCATCAATGCTTGCGTGTCAGAATTTGACATGCAACAAGTTATTTCTTTGGCGATCCACATCATGAAGTATTGGGGTGACAAAGTAAGATGTGATAATTATCAAACCACTGGAATCTGTCTTTATTTATCGAGAGGTTTTTACATGGACTTGTTAACCAATTTAACCCAACTGTGCAGTATGACTGAAAGAACAGGAATCGCGGGTGCACTCATGGGGAGGGGGTGCAACAAGGAAAGGAAAATTGTGCATCGAGACTTCAACCATCTTTGGTTCAAACCATTATGTGCTGAGGTTTGAGTGAGGTGCATTGGTGAGTTGGAGAGAGAGAAATGTTCACTCCCACACCTGCTGAGCAGATAACAAGCTTGAATTGCCCTTTCTGGCAAAGTGAGGACGATCACATCATCAACTGCATTTTGCATCCCATTGCCTTGTCTGTAGGTTTGCTTAGTTATTCTGCAGAAGATACTAACTAAATTACGGAAATACTCTCTGCTGTGATTTCATTATTTGGTGCATTTAAATGTTGAAAATTCAATAGCCTTGGATATTTTCATTTGCTAGGATATTTGGAAGTTGACAATCGAATACGTTGGGATTATAATGTTATTATAATATTAATGCCTCTGCTTACCTAGCGGTAAATAGGAACCTGGTTGTTCGTTGATTGGCGGATTTCTTTTCCGGGGGTAATAATCCCTTCAAAAAAACTAATAATAATAATTTGATCATTCAAGTTATTGGACATTGCTGTGCGTAATTGGATGCTGTGTTTCACCCACAAAATACAGAGACACTACATTTTACAATATATTCTGTGAAGCGCTTTGAGACGTCTCGACAATATGATAAGACGCTATATTAAGGGCAAGGATTATTATTATTGATACTGATTGATTGAGCGAAGAAGAGTATTGTGGCGAGTTGCTTTTTATGTACCTTTTAATTTCTTATTTGTAATTCCTATTTGTATTGTACTGTTTTTATATAACGGCTGTTGTATTATAATAAGTATTTGCTTACAACCTGGGCCAGATGGCTGACTTCCTGTTATCTTAAAATAAGATCCTGTTTATCAGGTTACCACCAACACAGCTGCACTCGCCCTTCCCCGATACTGCACAAGTATGTTAGCCCAGATTATATGTACTTAAATTAACTGGACTATATACGTATTACATCTGTAATTGGCTGCCACATTTCGCCCACAAATATACAGCTAATCCACTTTACAGCATATTCTGTGAAGCGCTTTGAGACGTCTCAACGACGAGATAAGGCTCTATTTCAAATGCAAGGATTATTATTTTATTACATAAATTCCAAGGCCAAATGTGGGATTTGAACCCCCAACCTTCGAACTCAGAGGTGGGAGTGGCTACCAACCAACTGAGACAGGCTGACAAACAAATTCAGCTCTCTCAGAATTTTATTCTGTGAAGCTCCCCAGGATGCCATCCTGTGTGAAGGGCACTATATAAATGCAAGTTGTTCTTGTTATTCCTGTCCCTCAGTTGACGGTTTATTGCAATACAAATTCATGGCTTCTCATCCAGCAGCATGAGGTGAATCCACGTGCTTGCGCTGAAAAACGGCCATCGTTTCTGAATGCAGCTGCACTTAGCGTTAGCACCTTCTGCTATTAGTCCCTCTGAATCCATAAAAGGGAAAGTGGCATTAGATGTACTACATATTTTTAATCCTTTCTGAACTTTGATGGCTGTGACAATGAGTGAATGGCAATAATACATTCAATATCAATGCAGGATGGTGTGCTAGCTTATCCAACTCATGCTTTACACCAGTTTAATTTTCAGCCTGCTCATAGGTAAGGTCATTTTCTCTTTAACTTGATTTGTTTGTAGGGTAGCATTTTGCCCCATTTTCTTAATCATGCAGGGAGGAAGGAAGGACAGATGAAAAGTAACCCCTGCTGGGATTTAAAAAATGTTTAATTTCCGAATCTATAAATATTACATGACAAAAATAAACACATTGGTTTGTCAAGTTCTTTGAGACATCCGCCCCAATTGAAACGTGCAAAATAAATATAAATTGTATCGTATTTGTGATGTGGACAAACTATGCCATGGACTCGCCTGCAAATTATACAGTCACTACGCGTGACAGTGCTGTGAAGAGCTTTGAGATGTCTCAACCACTTGATAAGGTGCAGTGCCAAATTCAAGGATTATGCAAATGCAAGTTGAGGGACCAGGAGCAGAAACCCTAGCTGGTTTTCCCCCTCCCTAATCCCGGGAAGGGCAGGGCCAATTTAGCCTCCCAATGAGGCCCAGCCTGAGGCCAACAAGCTCAGCGTGGAGTGGGATTCGAATCAGCGAGCTCCTGATGTGTAAACTGTGGCTTTATCCAATGCACCTTCCTTCGGAGCTGTGTGACTTAACTTTAATGGAAATATAAAAAGAATCGTTTCCCCCGAGGATTGATATCTTGAAATTGAATGACACAGCGAGAGGTTTATTTAAGTTGAACAAGTCCTTGGTGATGATCATTTAACCAGAATTCACAGCAGAATAGAGTTGTAATAGCACATGTACTGATTCAGCAACTGTAAGCCAGTGACAGAACCTGCGAAAATGGAGAGATTAGAACCAATTTGTACTTGGATTTTAGTTCATTTTTTAAGCAAAATTGAAACTGAAAACAGGAAAGAGGTACCAAATAAATATACATTATAATATACATTATAAGTTTGCTTTGAGTAATGCATCCTAAAGTAACGATGAATCAAGTGGAGGACTTCTCTATCCTTAACAAAGAATAAAAGAATGATATAACAATATAGAGATGCATTATACCGTAAAAATAACAATATAGAGATGCATTATACCGTAAAAATAATAATAATCCTTGCACTTGATACAGCGCCCTTCATTTTGGGAGGCCACCTCAAAGCGCTTCACAGGATTTACTGTGAATTGTAGTCACTGTGTTTTGAAGGATGAATGTAGGAGCCAATCTATGCAAGCAATGTCCTGCAAACAGCTGCAAAGTGAATGATCAATTTTATCTGATGGATTGTTGGCCAGGAATACTGGGAGAATCTCCCATCTCTTTTCATGAGGAGGGACCAGCAGCAGGAATCCTGGCTGGTTCTCCCCTCCCTAACCCTGGGAAGGCCAGGGACAATTCAGTCTTCCCATGCAGCCCAGGCTGAGACAGCCAGATTGGGACCAGGATTCGAACCAGCAAACTCTTGGTTCATCTACTACAACATGATTGTTCATTTCTTCACCATGACTACAGATACTTTAATAATAATAATCCTTGCATTTGACATAGCGCCTTATCACGTCTTTGAGACATCTCAAAGCGCTGCACAGAATACACTGTATATTTTGCAGGCAAAAAGCAGCAACCAATTGCGCACATCAATGTCCCACAAATGATCGTGGTTTAAAGTGACTAATTTATTATCGTTTTATTAGTGTTAAAGTAAACATGGAGTGGTTCTGACTGTCCAGATTGTGGAAGGAAAAGTTACAACGACTGACGAGGGTGAGCACGCAATGCGTTATCTCTCTAGCTTCCCGGATGCGCTTAATAAATCAGACGACATGTAGATAAGGTGCAAAGATGTCTAACAAACATCGTGCCTCTAGGCTGGAAAAAAAATGCCAAGTGGAACTGCAGCCCTGTGGTGAAGTCATTGCTGTGATCGATTACTCACTACTCAGTGGTCGCCTGACTGTGGCTGTCTGACATCTGCTTCGCTGCTCGGGGCTGTGGGCCTGCGCTGTAATTGAGTGCTTGTAATTCCTGGCTAAAGGGGGAACAAAGGAATATCCATTTCACTCCTTTTTATGGAAAAGATAAAGCTGAAAAGATTCCCACCCCCTCCCCCTCCCATGCACCCCTCCCTGCTTTCTCCTCTTGAGAAAATATCTAGCCACTGCTCCCAGTTTGACAGGATGAAGGTCTCCTTGCTGTCAGATATTATGCCATTTGCTCCTCAAGGACACAAGCCCACTATACAAAACTGCCTGCAGCACAATGCTAAATGGCTGTTTAATTCAGTCAGGCTATAAAGCAAGAGGTAGCAAATTGTCACAGTGGTGCACAAGGAAGCACTATGTTATCTTCTGGTATATCTTGAGGTATAATAGAGGAAGCTTTATTGTCACTGGATTGAGACTTGGGTAAGTCACAAAAAAATTGAAGCATTTAGGTTTACTTTACAATACCCATGGAATGTGTAATAATTTAATGGCAATAAGTATCCTTACATTTGATATAGCGATCATGTCACAAATATACAGTCGATTCACTTTACAGTATATTCTGCGAAGCCCGTTGAGACGTCTAGAAGACGTGAAAAGCGCAATATCAAATTCAAGGATTATTAATATTATTATAATCCTTGTTCTAAAATGCACGTTCAATGTTTGGAGAATTCAATGTTTTAAAATTTTTGAGGATTAGAAATTTGCATGTTTGAGAATTCCTGCAAATTGGAAATATGTTTCTGTGCCTTTTTCCTTGCAAAGACCTGGGTGTTTTGGTGGGTCTTCAAAGTCGAACAATACACAACAATTGATTGTGGCAACTCAGGTTCTCCACAGAGTGGAATGCTATAACAAGCAACTCATGAGATGACAAGTCATGAGATGATTCTGCACTGGGGTTTTATTGAAAATGAGTCAGTGAACAAAAATTTCTTCAGCCTGGCTCAGCTAGGAGCAATAATAACAACAAAATTACATTTGTAAAGTGCCTTTCACAGCGAGGGGACGTCCCAAGGTGCTGGACAATCAGGTTTTTGGACCCGAACTGGAGTTCAGGATCAGGGAGGGTGGAGGGCGGGGGGGAAGGAGGGTT